TGCCTTTGAAAACTCCTCGAGAGATTCTAAATTAATATTCTTTCCTGGGCAATTCAAACATTCAAGTGATCCCTCAAGGGGTTCTTCCAAAGTGGTCCTAGCCGTTCAAGTGATCCCTCAAGGGGCTCTTTTAGGGTGATCTTAGGCGTTCAAGTGATCCCTCAAGGGGTTCTTCCAGAGTAGTCCTAGGCATTTAAGTGATCCCTTAAGGGGCTCTTCCAGAGTGGTCCTAGCCGTTCAAGGGACCCCTTAAGGAGTTTTTTGGGGTGCTCCTACGCGTTCAAGTGATCCCTTAAGGGGTTTTATCAGAATGTTCCTATTTTCTACAGATCCTAAACCATCTCAATAAAAAAAACTAAAAAAAACTAAAAAAAAAACTTTAAAAAAAGCCAAAAATCCCATAAACAAGCTTGAGAAACACCTTTAGGCTCGGAAAGCTCGAAAAACTTGGCGAAAACCGGAAATTCAGAGGTCAAAAGCTCGGGAGAAGGGAGAGAGAGCTTCATCGCACGCTTGGCCGATTTTCAAAAAAAAGGAAAATTTCCTCGGAGCTCACGTTTTAATCTAATTGAGTTTTGCAAATTATTTCTGAAATCCTGATGGAAGAAAGTTGAGAAAAAAGGAATGGGGTGAGGGAAAAAAAAAAGAAAGAAGAAAGAACGGGGATTGAGAAACGCTTAATTAGATGCTAAATGAAGGGACGTCGGTCTTTGCGATAGGTATGCAGATTTTTTCTCGACTTTTGGTTGGATTTTGAATCTTTGAGATGATTTCTAAAATCTGCAAAGATATTTTGACCTGAAATTTATTTTTGGATCTGAAATTTGGATATCTGGAAGTAAAAAAAGAAGCTTCGGAGAACATTTTTCGAAAAAATTCAAAAATATAGTTTTTAAAATTAAACCCTGTTCAAGCTGCAATGCAGATCTAACTTCAATCATTACTTTTTCAAGATTTAAAACCAAATTTAAGGTTGAAAAACCTGTCCCACGCTCGAAAATCTGCAAAAAATCTTGAAATCAATTTTTTGATCCGAAAATGAACAAAATTGGATAAGTAGAAGTGAAAGAAGAGGTTCTGGAGAAAATTTTTCGAAAAAATTCAAAAATATGATTTTCAAAATTAAACCCTGTTCAAGCTCAAAAATGTATAAAAGCATTAATTTTTTAAGATTTACAAACAATTTTAAGGTTAAAAACTTGTTGGACAGTCAAAGACTGCAAAAATATCGATTCGGAAACTTTCCATATGCTTTTCTAGCAACATAAAAAATTCCCAACCAGTATAAACTTTAAATGACAAGGGAGGTCATTTTATTTTTCAATTGGGAATTTTCTTAAAATTGGCCAGAACACTCCTTGAAGTCCCAGAAGAAGATCCTGAAAGTCTCAACCTGCAAAACTTGCTAGTTTTTGAGAAAATACACCTTAAAATTCGATTAAAATAGGCTATTTTGGGGCTTTTCTCGGAAACTTCGAAGTTGGGCAGGTTGGGACTTTCAGGATCTTCATCTGGTACATCAAGGAGTGTTCTGGCTTTCTAACAGTAAAGTAAAATCACTTCCTTGCGAGGTTTTTTTTAATTAAAAAATTCCGACCCTAGCTCAAAACTTAATTCAAAATAGACGAAAATGCTTTTCAATGACCATAAGGCTTACAAGGAGACCATAAAAATTGCAAATAAGTTACAAAAAAAAATGGCAAAAATCCTCGCCGGGAGGGGGGATCGTACCAAGAAGCTTTGGCGCGGCGCAACAGGCCAGCAAACAAGACAAATGGAGCCACGGCGGCGCGTAATCTCTCGGCAATCGTTTTCCTACGACTTCGTTCTCTTCGTCTTCTCCTTCAGTAACCCCTTGGGAAGGCCTATGATCCCATCAACAACTAGTTAAAATTATAGTATATTTATGAAATTTGAACAGGTAAAAAAACTGAGATCAGGGCTCGTTAGGTTGAATTTTTGGAGCTAGATAAGCTTTTTTAAAGACCCGAGGTTGTTAGATTGAAATTTAGGTACCAGGTAAGCATTGCCAAACTCCTTCATTTCTTCGTGTACCTCCTAAAGATCCTCAAATCTTCTAAATAATTCAGACTCTGAAGAATATAAACAAAAGGACAAGAAGAGTCGATGCGCAGTCAATATTATTTATGGATACGTAGTAGAAAGGCCAAAACCTACAAGTCCACTTGCAGAGGAGGAAAAAGAGCTTTTCTTAACTTTCATTTTTCCGGACAAAAATCAAATATTCCACAATATCCCAGTTGCTGCGCAGCCAATATCATTTCTCGATACGTAGTAGAAAAGCCGAAATCTACAAGTTCAGTAACACAGAAGCAAACATTTTTTCTTCAACTTCAGATTTTCCGGGCCAGGCTCTCAATGGAACTAAATAATCCACAGAACTACTCATCTCACAATCCCAGTTGATGCGCAGCCAATATCCTTTCTCGATACGTAGTAGAAAAGCCAAGATCTTGGAGCACACTAAAAAGAGGAAAACAAATGTTCTTAACTTTAATTTTTCCCTACGAGAACCGAATATTCAACAATGTCCCAGTTGATGCGCAGCCAATATCATTTCTTGATACGTAGTTAACGGTACAGAAGCCAAAATCTACAAGTCCACTTACACAGACGCAAATAATGTTCTCAATTATAATATTTTCAGACTAGACTCTCAAAATAATACACAATATCTTAGTTGATGCGCAGTGAATTACTACTCATTCTCGATACGCAGCCAACAAAAATAATACACAACATTCCAGTTGATGCGCAGCCAATATCATTTCTTCATGCGCAGTAGAAAAGCTGAAATCTAACAGTCCACTAAGAGGGGGAGAAAGAGCTTTTCTTAACTCTAATTCTTCCGGACTAGATTTTAAATTGAAATAAGTATTTCACAATATCCCAGTTGATGCGCAGTGAAATACCACTCTTTCTCGATACGCAGCCAACAAGAATAATACACAACATTCCAGTTGATGCGCAGCCAATATCATTTCTTCATACGCAGTAGAAAAGCTGAAATCTAACAGTCCACTAAGAGGGGGAGAAAGAGCTTTTCTTAACTTTAATTTTTCCGGACTAGATTTTCTAAATAATACAAAAATTATAAGTTGATGCGCAGTGAATTACTACTCTTTCTCGATACGCAGCCAACGAAAAGCCGTACTCGCAAAGTCAGAAAATGTGCTGAAAGAAAAGCGACGGCGTCGGAAAAAAGGTTATTGAAGGTAGGGGGAAAAGAAGTGGGGGGAGTGTAGAAAAAGGTGCACCTCCGGCCATAATTCAAAGCGACCGCCGAAACCTCCAAAAATCCTTTCTTTCGACCCCCTTTCCCCTGGAATTTGATACACACATTTATCGAGAGGATTATTTCAAAACGGGGTCGAAAAAATCTGAGGAAAAGCTCGGTGAAAATGGAAAAAAGTGCAATATATCCGTTTGTTGGTAATTCGATACTTGGATAGGTGTGGCTCAGGGGTAAATATTCGTTATAGTTCCTTTTTTTTCGCGTCTTCTTTTTGTTGAGTGAGCAGCTGTTTCTCTGTGAGAGGAGAGCACTTGGGTGAGGTGAGAGGTGGTTCAAACAAACTGGAAAAAAAGGTTTTTTTTGGAAAAAATTCGAAAATCTCTGCAGTAAAGGCTATACTATCAAGTAGTAGATCATTTCTAAAAAAACCAGAAAAACAAAATTTTTTTCAAAAAAAAAAATCACAAATTAGCCTGTATGCAATCGAACCCACTAGTCTTTGATATGACTCATTATTGCTCATGTTATGAAAAAAATCTCAAAAAATCCAGAAAAAAAAATTCCGCAAAAATTGCAGAACTAGCCATGGTACAACCGAACCCACTAGTTGTTTGATATGACTCATTATTGCTCATTATTGCTCATATTATCGTTAAAATTGATGTTAGACGTAATTTCATTTATAATAAACTCAAATAACTCGGATCATAGAATGTCACTAAAAAAAAGTCAAAAATGGCAAAAATGGAGCTGGGAGTCGAACCTGAGAGTCTCTGATCACTCATCACTTTAATTAATTTTACGGATAAAATTTTTTAGTTCGTTTTTCGAGATTTGAGCTTTAATTTTCGACTGTATGAGAGTCGATGCGCAGCGAAATTATGAGAAAATTGATACGGTGATCATAAAAAACAGTTTAAGCAAGTCGATGCGCAGTGAATATCTGACCAAGTTCTCCGTAAAAATCTATCAGAGTTCTTAAAAAAAATTTTTTTTTTGAACTATAAACCAGTCTGAGAAGGTGAACACTCTAGAAAAGGAGGTCAAAACATTATCAGAAAAATTCCCAAATGAGTCGATGCGCAGCCAAATGATCACACGGATACAGAGCCTTAACAAGCACAAGTACATACAAACATAACAACTTGAGTCAAGTTCGAAGGGTGCCTCAATAACGACGCGAGAAATGGAACGGTCCCGCGGGAGGCCCGACGCGGCGGCCGATGATAAAATAGGAACGAGGCCTTGGAATGGCTCCCTCGAGCTCGATGACGAGCTTCTTGCACCGACAGGGGAAGAAAAACGGGCGAAAGTCGGGTGTTAGGGACCAATTAGTGACTGATTATTGCTCAGGTTAGCGGTGCGCAGCGAAATGATAGCCTTGAGGTGATACGGAGTCCGTTAATTTTTAGGAAAAATCCTCCAAACTTTAAAAATCTAGAAAAGTTGTGGGGAAAAGCTTAAGAAACATATTATTTTTAAAATTTGAAAAAACCGCTGAAGATTAATTCTGAAAAGCTTCAGAATACATATAAATCTATTAAAAAAATTATATTTTATACCATTCCATCTTGAGAAAAAAATAATCTATTTCCCCCGAAAATCGTTTTAATCAAAAATTCGATGCGCAGTAAAATTTTTGTGATACGTAGTCAATTTAAGAACTCATAGAACCCCAAAAAACCTGTACAAGGAACATTAAATACTCAAAAAAACAATTAAAAATAAAATAAAAAGCTAAACTTCATACACCACACAAAGCAGTGCTCAAACGCGCAAGGGGGGTTATGACGGCGAGAGGGCCCGCGCCCTCTCGTTGACTGCTTGGCGCAATGGTAGCGCGTTCGACTCCAGATCGAAAGGTTGGGCGTTCGATCCGCTCAGTGGTCAGAACTTTTTTGCCATTTTTTTTTTGTTGGAAAATGAAATATGGGCGTACCTTCAAGGGTAAGGTTGACGCTGAGGTGATTGGCAGCAAGGATGAGGTTGGTCAGCGGCAGGTAGAGGCCGGACATGTTGACCGCCGCTTTGGCTGTCGCCGCTGTCGTGGCCAGGAGCCCAATTTTCGTCTGGAAACTGATTTTTTTCAGAGGAGCAGAGAAAGGAAGATCAGAGAGGTCCCTATAGGGGTAACAAACAGTCCCTAAGTGGCCCCTATAGGGGTCTTTCAATTTGATTCAAAAAACTCTTGATCATTTACCCATATAGGGGCCGCTAACGAAAACTCCTATAGGGACCGCTTTTGCAAGCTCTAGTGGCCCCTATAGGGGTTGGTAGAGTAACGGTTACCCCTATAGGGACCACTTTGGAATTCCTGAGATAGCGGTAAAATTTAGGTGACCCCTTTAGGGGTCTTTTTAATTTGTTCTTTTTCTGATTTCAAGGTATAGAACCACCAAGAGGCTCCCCTATAGGGGCCACTTTTCCAAGCTTCCGTGGCCCCTATAAGGGGAAGTGAAGCGGTCCCTAGAGGGCCCTCTGGAGTCCTAAGCACAAAAACAGTTCATAAAAAGGGTGAAAAACGCAAAAAAGAGCTGTATAACTTTAAAAAATGCCTTTTTCTCAAATCCTACTGAAATTAGAGCTTCAAAAAAAAAGAAAAGGGGACGATATGATGTGTGGAAATAAAGAGAGAGAGAAAGAGAGAGCGTGATATTCGAGCCTCATGAAGAGGAGAGCCGACAATTGAGCCTCAAATCGAGTGTGAAAAACGCCGGATGAAGGAAAGGAATGGGCGGTGAAATTGCGCTCCAAGGTACTCAGGTATATAGACCGATGTAATTGTCACCTCGTTATATGGAGAATTGTCGATAAACAAACGGAACTGGAATAATTTTGGGCTCAAAACGATTTTTTATTCAGTTTTCCGCGATTCGTGGTCGCATTTGGAATGGCTAGGGTTCAAAAAAAGACCAAATTTGGGTCATAAATGCTTTTTTTAGAACACGAATTTGTATTTCAAGTGTTAAAAAAGGTTTTATTGAAACTTAACGATTTTTCAATCCATTTTCCGCGATTCGTGGTCGCATTTGGAATGGCTAGTGTTCAAAAAAAGACTAAATTTGGGTCATAAATGCTTTTTTTAGAACACGAATTTGTATTTCAAGTGTTAAAAAGGTTTCATTGAAACTTAAACAATTTTTTTTCAGTTCATTTTCCGCGATTCGTGGTCGCATTTGGAATGGCTAACATTCAAAAAATGCCAAATTTGGATCAGAAACGATTTTTTTTAGAACACGAATTTGTATTTCAAGTGTTAAAAAAGGTTTCATTGAAATCAAAACAATTTTTTATCCATTTTCCGCGATTCGTGGTCGCATTTGGAATGGCTAGGGTTCAAAAAAAGACCAAATTTGGGTCATAAATGCTTTTTTTTAGAACACGAAAGTGTATTCCAAGTGTTAAAAAAGGTTTTATTGAAATCAAAAATAATTTTTTATCCATTTTCCGCAATTCGTGGTCGCATTTGGAATGGCTAGCGTTCAAAAAAAGACCAAATGTGGGTCATAAATGCTTTTTCATAACACTAATTTGTGTTTCGGGGGTAAAATTTGAACAAAAATATCAAAATCTTGCGCTTTTGCGCATGAATATGGAAAAAAACAGGTAAATTTTCTAAAATCGTTAAATTTCAATAGTAAAGTCATCATGAAAATCGGATTATTCTGTAGATTTCATCAAAAATTAAAGAAATTTCGCTCTATTTTCCGCGATTAAAAACGCCGTGGTCGCATTTGGAATGGCTCGGTTGGAAGTTAGATCAAGACTTTGACCGCAAATACTCGGAAACTTGCAGAGAAAAGTCTAAATTCTTTGTAAAACCGCCTAAAAACTCTGAAAAAACGTGAAAAGCGGGAGAAACTTTGCAAAAAAGATACATCAAAGCATCCTTATCACGTCAGTTTCTCATAGATTCCATAAGAGCCTATTTAGGGATTAAATCACTTAAGGATAAATTGTGAAGCTTTCAAAAAAGAAGAAGCTTAAGTGGAGAATGTGTCTGAGGTGTACTAAACGCTCAAAAAAATATTTAGTACAAATTAAGATTTTTCCAATCTTCTTCCTCATACAAAATAAATCAAAAAGATCTTTGAAATTTCAATTTTTTTCTTCTGAAGTTTTCATAAAATCTTTTAATCCCTTAAGTGGCCACTAATTTGACTACTATAGTGGCCACTAAAAATATTCTCAGTATCGAAAAATCTTCAAAAAGAACCTGAAAAAAGGAAATAAACCAAGAGGGGCCGGAAAATGAAAGCGGATTGCTCTCGAATGAGCATATATTTATGTACTTATCCTCGGGATGCCCGAAATGAAACTTGAAATTCGAAACATGGATTCCCCGCAACAAAATCCATTAAAAAAGGAGTTTCGGTTTGGTATCTATTCCATAGTTGTCCCCGTGTATAATCTGGAAGGACTTGATTTTTAGATATTCTAGGAAAGTTTTTAGTGGCCACTCTAGTAGTCGAATTAGCGGCCACTTAAGGGGTTGAAAATTAGTGGCCACTATAGAGGTCTAAGTGCTAATACTAGACCACTAAAAATTTTAAAATGTTAGTGGTCACTTTAGGGGTCGATGGATCAACACAACTGGTCAAATCTGTATAAGAGTTACTGGAAGGAATACTGGATGAAAAACTACTGAAGTGGTCACTAAAACGAAAAATAGTGGCCACTTTAGTGTCCTCTCCAAGTAGTCCTTGGCGAGCCTCTATAGTGACCACTAAAACTTAAGTTGTTCTATAAAAATGACGTCATACGGAAAAGATTCCGCCGCAATATAAGGTGTGAAGAGCGAGGAAGAAACATGAATTTTTGGACAAAAATATAGGAATTGATGTATAATGACGTCATAAGAAAATGATGTATAATGACGTCATAAGAAATTGATTTGTAATGACGTCATTCCCACTGAAAAATCGTGACGTAAAATTCAAAAAATTTAAATTTTGAAAGAAAATGAGTAAGACGCGAAATGAATGAATGCTTAAAAGAGAGAAAAAAGTCCAAAAAATGAAAAAAACGACTGAAAAAAAACCTCTCCAACTATTAGTGACGTCACGACAGCCCAATTAATGACGTCACAACAATTCCTAAAAAAAAGTGGGATGCGAAATGAATAAAAGCGGAAAAGTGACTGAGAAAAAAAGTCCAAAAAACAAAAAAAAAACGACTCAAAAGTAAAAAAGTCCTCTCTAATTATTAGTGACGTCACGATAGCCCGATTGATGACGTCACAACGCTTCCTCATTATTGCTCATGTTACAAATAGATTAATTAATCGAATCGGGCCGTGAGACCAAACTCGTCGCACCTCTGCTGAAAGATTCACGAGGCTCTCACGGCCACGCCCTCTCAGGAATTCATTGACCCCTTTTCTCGTCGGTCCGGTTGCCGAGGTTGCAGAGGAAAAAGTTCAAAGGAAAGTCTGACGCATGTTTTTGAAGAGGAATGAGAAAAATTAGCCTTGGCAGTCGCGAAAAATTCATGTTCGTAATGCAAAGTTAGCATTAGCTTAATGTCGTTAAATCAGTTTTTTTGACGAAAAAAAAAAGTTCGAAGTCCTGGGAAAATCTGCTCACGACTTGATAGCATTGCAAAAAAAGATTTGAAAAATGAAAAATGAATAAAAACAGCCTTGAAAACAGCTATAAAACCTTCAAAAAGTCCTAGTTTTCAGAGAAAGTCCATCAAAAAAAAACGAGAAAAAATAGCCACCACAAGATCTCAAGTTACGCTCTATGGATAAAATACTCAGAATGATTATTTTTAACTTCTTAAAAGCTTTAAAAGCAAAAAAATGGAAAAATTTTGATGCGAAAAAAAGAAAACCCGTTTTGAAAAATAATAGCCGCTGACAGCTTTCCAATTGCGCTCCATGGACAATTTTTGTTTTTTCGTCCTGATTGGTCTCCTAGAAGCTAAATCTGTATAGGAAAAATCCATCAACGTCTTTCAAAATCTTGAAAAAAATTCATCAAAGCCCAAAAAAATTCGAAAAAAATCGAGTGTAATTTTTTTGAAACTTTAGATCAATTTTTTTGAAAAATTCTGAGTCATTCCTGAAGATTCAAACTATAAAAGACTTTAAAAAAATTCAAGAAGAATAATTTTTTTTCCAATAAAAAGAGCTTGGAAAAATTTTTTTAGTGACCACTATAGGGTTTTGAAGCTTTTGTGGCCACTATAGTAGTCAAATTAGTGGCCACTTAAGGTCTTGAAAATTAGTGGTCACTATAGAAGTCTAAGTGCTACTACTAGACCACTAACAATTTAAGTGGCCACTTTAGGGGTCAATGGATTAACATATCTGGTCCAATCTGTTTGTTTTGAAATTATCAGAGTTACTGGAAGGAATACTGGATGAAAAACTACTGAAGTGGCCACTAAAACGGAAAATAGTGGCCACTATAGAGGTGGGTTTAGTGGCCACTTTAGTGTCCTCTCCAAGTAGTCCTTGGCGAGCCTCTATAGTGGCCACTAAAAATTTTCCCAGAAGTTCAGAAAAAAATTCTCATTTTACAAACGTTAAACCCCCTTCCCCCCACCAAGAAGATCCAAAAAAACTTCTCAAAAAAATCAAAAACCCAAAGGTCGAGTACGCGCTCTTTCGAAATAAAAAAGTGAACAGAACAACTCGACTGACATTTCCGGCCATATAAATCTCGCTTTTCATGGTTGTGGTGGTCCAAGAAAAGACGAGGAAAAACGACCAAAACTTATGGGATTTTTTTTCTCTCAGGACAACAATTTACTCGCTTTTTATTGCCAAACATGCTTCAATCACATCAAATTGTCGCATTTGGGAGATAAGCGTGTCGCTTGGCGCAGTGGCAAGGAGTTCACTTAGTGATTTGGAGTCGCTGGTTCGATTCCTGTCCAGGTTTTTGGTTACCAAACCTCAAATTATGCAAAGAAATGGGTTCTAGATCGTTATAACAATTAAAAAAATAAATAACTGCTTTCAAGAAAAAAACTCATAAAAGTGTCCCTTGGAGCAGTGGCGAAAGTTTTACTTATAAATCTGGGGTCGCTGGTTCAAGTCCTGTCCAGGTTTTTGGTTATTAAACTTTAAATTCTGTGATAAATTGGGTTCCAGACTTTTATAGCAATCGAAAATGAACTACTACTTTCAAGAAAAACTCATAAAAGTGTTCCCTGGCGCAGTGGCGAAAAATTTTCTTATGAATCTG